AGCCTGACCACCAGAAGTGATCTTGTAGCACCAAGAAGGTCTTTTTGGTCCCTGGGTGACCAGTGCTTAAAGAGGAGTCCGCAGAAAGGTGTGACACTGTCACACAAGAGACATGTTTTACCGCTCTATTTATTGCAATTATTTTATGTATAATAGAGTTTTAACTGGTTTACATGTTTTCTTAAGTAAATTTTATTCCTCTTAACATTTTAGAGTGTATATGTCTTTAAAAATTGTATGGTTGGCCTGCCATGTGACCAGTCACGTGACAGGATACAGGAACTGTATAAAGAGAGCAGCATGCCAAACGAAGTGGCTACTAACAGCTACCAAACACACCTGGAATGTGGAGTTTCCTTTCTGTGGACTTACCTTTCCAGATTTACTTGCAAGCTTGTGAGATTATCACTCATTTTGGATTGTATATACACTGGTGGACTCACTTTGGGACTTTTTCAGTAGTGATGGGCAAATGAAGCCTCATGAAGCACTGAGGCTTTGCTCTGACTGTTTCGGGAAAAGATTCAAAGCTTTGCGAGCGTCAAAAATCTTTGCCATCTGGTGGTCAATAAAACATATAGCCTGTGAAAATAGTGTGTGTGTTTGTTAAAATTCTCTCTCTGATAAAATAATTTACCCATTAAACTGTGGCATTAAATGGCAATATGAATATCAATATGATGTAATAGAAGAGTAATGTACATATATGAATTGCATATGCCAAATATATATTTTTTTCTGAAATAGTTTTTATTCTTCATATTACTTGTATGGCTGGGTATTTAAAAATGTAATTGAATAAGTCTGAATGAAAACTTACTCGTAAAGTAAGATCTGGGGTTTCGAACATTCGCGCTTTGAAGCTTCAGTGTCAGTGTCATAACATCACTATTTTTCAGCACTCTAGAATTCTTGGACTGTTTTTAGGGTATGGTGCAGAGAACTGTACGCTTTTAACAGACTGAGTTTTCCTGGTTTTATTGTGTTGTTTTAAAGTCCCGTGAACTTTGTAAATACACTGTTCTTAAATGTATTTCTGTTTTATGTCATTCTTTTAACGCATATAAACCTCTTACACAGTAAAATTTGACCCCATTTTAAACTTTGTAACCCAGCCTGTTAGGCTGATCGTTACATTTGGTGGCCCGTACGGGGAACATTCAAGATTTTAAAGGGGTCATATGATGCGATTTCAATTTTTCCTTTCTCTTTGGAGTGTTACAAGCTCTTGGTGCATAAAGAAGATCTGTAAAGTTGCAAAGACTAAAGTCTCAAATCCAAAGAGATATTCTTTATAAAAGTTAAGAGTCAACCACACCC